GCGCGCGACACTTTTCACTAGTATCGTAATCATCACTGAATAGGTCATACTTATAAGTAGGCGGAAAAGTGATTTCACCTTCGAAACAGTTTTTAAAAACCAAACCCTGAGACTTTTGTCTTGTTAACTGATCTTGTTCTAGAAGTCGTTGCAAATTGTTTTGTGCAGCCAACAACCGCGACTCTTCTTTATCTAAGTCTATGCGATAATTGAAGTCTCCACACCAAAATACATAATCATGAGAGTAAAGAGATCTACCCATAGGAAAAGCAATCTTTCTAGTAATCTCAGTGTAATCGGCATTACGTTCGGATACTTGCGACTGTCCTGCAGCAAAATGAGCACACACAAAACATAATGATGAACCATAAATTACCATTCTTATAACAACAGCTCCTTTATTTCCAGTGGCTCCACCAAGACCTGTTTTAACAGAATCAAGTGCCACATCTCTAATATGCGGAATTAGGTCCTTTCTTACAAATATGAACAGGCAAACTCCAACTAATTGATGACTAGACAAAAGAGTATATGAGGCATCTCTGCTCAATACTTTTTCTAACTCCTCACTCCAGGCTTTAGCATTATCAGAGCTTGCTGCCATTATATTGCTAGCATTTAAATCAACAATCTCTTGAAATCCTATAGCAAAGATATCTGAGGGTTGTTCAGTCATATTTACTGTTGAAACTAGAGATGAATTAGGGCAATCTAAAAGCCAATCAGCTAAAGATACATCTTTATAGGCTAGGCTTCTGAAATGTTTGCCTCCATTCACATTGTATGTACCAATGGTAATCCGAATGCTAGATGGTTGAGTGAATTCATTAGCCCTTCTACACATTTCTCTCAACACGGGTGTTGAGGTATGAAGGATATTTGGGGGTAGTAATATTCTTGTACGATCAGCAAGCTCCGAGTTCAATGTAGATCCTAACAACAATATATCAATTGCTTCTTGTTTAGAATTGTCCAACAGATTGTTCTGAATAGTACGAGCAGCTGATCTGGCACCATCTATAAGCTTTGAACCACCTTGAATAGCTCCAGTGCCTGCATAGATTTTAGAAATCTCATTCCCATTATTTATCCACATCTGTTTGAATACCTCTTCAAATCTATTAACATTTTGTTTCTTATCCACACATTGCAAAAGCATTAGCTGAATAGCTAACATTTCTAAACCAATAAATGTTTGTATAGAGTTTGTCCTGTCTAGACAATCTAGGCAATTAGTGCGGATAACACCTTTTTGAATATTATAGATGTCAACGCCTCTAGCACTAAAGATGCTAATGTCATCATAATTTTTCTCAATAATTTTCTTGAATTTAGACAAAGCAGATTCTATGGATGAACCTCTCACCTCTTGATGGTAGTCGAAAATAATTTGTATTACATCAGAATGTGCGGATTCATTAAGATGTCTCTGGTAAGCATTGCTAAGTGTTGCTTCTCCTTCACTGCCGCCAATCAAACTTGAGCCCAGCAAATTAACAACGAATATTGATCCATAATTGCGTTTTAACTGAGAAAAGTGCCTATCGCAAGCACTGGTTGATGCATCATACCCTCGAGACATTTTAACCTTATGAGATCCCACTTGAATACCAGGCTGCTCCCAGAATAATGGCACAGAACCTCTTGTTTGTATGTAGGATGCTACTGAATCATCAATATATATCGCTTGTTCTGTTTCAACAAAATTGGCAACATTTCCATCATCATTGCAACCTCTTACATTGAAGCGAGTACCGGCTCGCTCACAGCTCAATCTTGACACAAGCACTGCTCTAGCCTGCCTGTGTCCAACATAAATAGTGCGGATTTCAACTGAACCACACATAGCTCTAGTCAGCCAATCATCACAATCAATACCATATCTTATTAGATGTATAAAAAGTGTCCTATTCCAAAAGAATCTATTATCTGGGTTAGCACCCTTACTTTTCCTCTGAGAGCAAAGTGTTAAATCAAAAAGATTGTCTTGAATTTTACCAGAATTCCATGAAAAGTAGAAAGTACCAGAATTCAATAGTTTTCGGACTTCCGAAACTTTATCTTCCCCTTGAGATTGATAGAATAGAGGAAGAAACTGTGTTTGTGTTATTTTGAATACCTCTACATCACCCACCTTTCCGACGGAGCAACATCCCACGACCAGTACGAGGTACAGCAAGCAACTTTCACCGGCGTTCAGTTGTAAAACTCCCAAGCAGCCGTAAGCATCAGCTATTTTATGATATTGTTTTCTAAGAGTTTCCGTTTCTTGAGACGACAACGATACTACAGCTTGAGATTCAAAAAGCAAAGCCGTGTCTTTATTTCTATGTTGCAAAATTATACTGTAAGGGTTTGGGGGCGATGATTTCTCTAGGACTTTAAATCCTTTTGACATTGCCATGTCTGCTTTAAAATGGAAATTACATTCAGAAAACAGCCATCCACCCTCCACTTAGATTTTCACTTCATAAAATATGATTTACATGAAAAACCTTCCATCGACCGATTCGATTACAATAGAAATGTCATTACTGTCATTTTATGATTATAGCTGTCATTTAGTTCAGAAATAAGTTTTTATTTAACAAAGTATTTTTTTTAATCTCGAAAATATAATATAACGAATAAAATTCGGTATATTTTAGAAAAGGAAATGAGTTATTTTCTTGTTAGGTTAAGGTAATACTGACTTATTGACCGGTATTCGATATATCGGCAAGATCAATGCTCATTTCAATCGCATTTTCAACATTTGTATAGAATGGTGGGAAAGAAAAAAAGGAAAATAAATTGGATGGAGTTTACATTTCAATAGGAACGCAAAAGTATTAAAACATTTTAACATAATATGTACTTTGTATTACAACTTCAATAAATTATTTAACATTAAAATCAACATATTTCTTATACAAGGCGAGGGAGGCGGCTGGTACGTTGATTCTACCGCTGTTCCTTTGCACGTAATTCAGATATATTTCTTTGGAGGCTTTGGTGACCGTTGGCGGGATGACGTGCACGGTGCTGTCGATGGTGAACGCACTGCTTACTGTCATCACGATGTGTATGTCGGGCTCGTACTGCGGGTTCGATCGTCGTTCGAAGTTAACATATCGCCTATATCTGAAATATAATTAAATAATTAAAGTCAATGGACTTTTAAACGATAGATAAGAAAGGTTCAGCGTTTTATTCTTACACAATCATATCTCTCTTGCTGGGTTGCTTTAATGCAATCATATTGGATCGCTTGATGGCGGGGAACATGGGGGGGTCTCCGGACTCTTCGGGAGAGAGCAGTCTATCCACCAGAGAGAGTGGGGATGGTATAATCTGTCGGGAACTGGGAGTAGAGCTGGTCAAGTCGTCGTCCGAAGAGGAGCCGCTGTTAGAACTGAAACAAGCAGTAATAGTTAGTTATTTTATAATTTAATTGCATGTCAAAACAAAAAAAAACATTATTGCATCTTTCCTATTGGGACGATAATTTTTCGAGGAGGCTCGATCGTAACCATTTAATTTATGACAATGTGGAAAAAAGCAAGATGTTTTTGTATTTATGTTTGGATAGTGAGAAGCTATCAGGTCACACTAATATTATTAAAGCAAAAGTTTAGATGGATTTCATTTAGTTGGATTTTTTGTAGTGTAAACGGCTAAACGGATTTCGGTGAAATTTGGTATAGATGTAGCTGAAAATCTGGAAGAACACATAGGCTACTACATTTGTTTTTTTTTTTAAATTCCACGTGGACAAAGTCCCAGACGAAAGCTAGTTTTGTTTTAAATAAATAAATGTCTAATTAGTGTGTGGGATTCATATAACTGCTAGAAGACTTTTTATTATTGTAGAAAGTGTCGTACTCGCTGGAGTTATTAGAAGTGGTGCTGGACCGGCCGCTGATGACGGGGTTCTTGGAGACGGGGCCCTTGCTGTGTCCGGCGCCGCGGCCGCGCACCACGAAGGGGCTGCTGCTCTCCGAAGACGGCGCCAGGTCGCGCACCGTGTGGAACATCTTGTACCGACACAAGTTTAATTTAAGTAACAATGACGTAAAAATATAGAAAACAGAATTCCTATTTGCATTTTACATCAACAAAAACTGCTTCACCTTCTTTATATTTTAATGTCTATTGTTTCAAAGTTTCTTAAATTATCTCTAATTTTACTTTTCTTTTTTTCTAATATTTTTACTTATGTACATCTATTTATTCC